GATGGTTTTTGAGCTCACACCACAAAAATCCCCCAGGCGGGTGGGGGCCACACCCCGCAAAAACCCGCCATGGGGGGGGGGGGATTTTGGGGGGGTGAAGGTCCACACATCTTCAAGCGGCCGAGGTTGACAAACACTGCAGTAGCCACTAGTCTTGATAGATGCTGATGTCCTTGGAACCACAGGCAGGAGACCTTCAGTGCCAGCTGGTGGGACGTAACTGCAGGAAGGGCTCCCCCTCCTCTTTGTCCGCAAGCTTTCCAGATTCACCTGGTTGGCTGCTGTGAGGTTCAAGATGCAGGTCTGGATGTATCCTTGGCCTGATCCGGCCTCAGGGCTCTTTGGGTACTTGTAGTCCTGCCTTAAAAAAACCCCTGACTTACTCATTTGATGCAACCATGCAGTAGAAGTCATTTTGCAGAACCTGCTTCTGGCTGAGGGATGAGAAGGGAATGCCTTCTGCTTTCCCTCTGCAGCCCCTGGGGCAATGATAGATACTCGGTCTTGTGAACCTACCGCTTCTCTGCTGCAGAGGCCGAAAAATATTGATGAAGCAGCGGAGGAGATTTCTGGATCAGCAGCTCGGTCTGTTGGCCGCTGCACTGCCCAGCTCCAAATAGCTGTTTGGCTGCCTGGTGCTGAAGCAGGGCAGTGCTGGCCACAGGATCCCAGCCGCTGGACACCGCCAAGCCTGATTTACTCTTTCCCTTGCAGACTGCCATGCTGTACCCTGGGGTCGTCTTTGGAATATGCTTCATCCTGAATTGTTTCATCTGGGGCAAACACTCCTCGGGGGCGGTAGGTCTCTCTCGCCCTTCCCTTTTCCCTCTGCAACTTTTTCTCATGACCTTCGCTTGTATTTGTGGATTTGGTCTTGAGTCTGAGCCTGCACTTTTGTTCTGAGCCATAAACAGGGTTAATGGTCCTTTGAAGCTGCCCAGCTATTTATTTTCCCTTCCCCTCGTTTTTGTCATGATGGCATTTCCGCGTTCTATTCTGGACTAAAGGAGAGAATACAGGTAGTCCTCGATTTACTACAGCAATGGGGACCAGAATTTCTGTTGCCAAGCAATGCCGTCATAAAGCACAACCACATCGCTTAGCGACAACAATCCCCGCAGTCCCAGCTGCCATCGTTAACTGAATCCCATGGTCATTAGGCGAGGCAACTTCCTGCTGGCTTCCCACAACCAAAGTTGGTGGGGAAGCTGGCAGGAAGTTGCAAGGCCCAGGGAGGTAAGTGGCTGCTGCCATCTGGGAGAGGGAGTGAGGGGGAGGGGGTGCAAGGATGCGCAGGAGTGCACGAGAAGCATCGCACTGGTTGGGGAGGGTGTGCAAGAGGTGCTGTGCAGGTTGGGGAGGGGGTGCAAGAGGCACTGCACGGGTCGGGAAGGGTGTGGAGGAGTGCATCAGAGGCACTGCACAGGTCGGGGAGGGTGCATGAGAGACAGCCTGTGGGTTGGGGAGGGTTTGCAGTGGTGCGGCATGGATTGGGGGGAGAGTGCAGTGTCGCGCAGGTGGGGGAGACTTTCCCCAGCAACTTGCGATCTTCCCTGCTGGCTTCCCCTTTGACTTTCTGGGGAAGCTGGCATGGAAGGTTGCAAATAGTGATCGTATGATAGCGGGGTGCTTGGCAACCGGGTGTAAGTGCAAATGGATTGCCAAGCACTCAGATCATGATCATGTGACCATGGGGGTGCTGGAACAGGGACAACTTTGAGGACCAGTTGTAAGTCTCCTTTTCCAGCACCACCGTAACTTCAAACGGTTGCTGAACAAATGGTTGTAAGTCGAGGACTGCCTGTACTTCCTCTCAACTGATATGATTCTACAACTTTTGCACAAGTTAAAAGGGTTTTTTGCAACCAATTTGTTGTTATGTTTTGGTGATAACAGCCATGGTTTACTTCCCACTTTTCAAGATACACTAATAAAATAATTGGAATACAGGTGGTCCTCATTTAATGACCATTTGTTCAGCAACTGTTCAAAGTTACGACGGTGCTGAATGAGTGGTACTCACAACCAATCCTTGGAGTTCCAGCTGTTGCAGCGTCCCACGGTCACGTGATCACAATTTCCAACGTTCTCTGCCGGCTTCCCACAAGCAAAGTCAGTGGGGAAACCGGCAGGAAATTGGAAGTCACAGTCACGTGAGGTCCTCGCGTAATGATGGCAACCAGGACTGCCAGAACTGCCAGCACAGTCATGTGACATTGCGCTATACAACCACATTGCTTAGTGATGACAATTCCCATCCCAGTTGCCATTATAAACCAAGAACAACCTGTAGTTAGAAATAATAGCTCCTTCCTACGAAAGCCTAACTGGAGTGGGTTCTAGGCCAATATTTAATGTCTTGTAAGCTGAACTGTTTGCAAGAGATCAGCTTTTTATTGCTCGGATTTTTTTCCTCAGAAACTCTTTTTTCTGGTTGTGTTTCAGGCAATTAACCAGAGAATGGCATTTTTTCTCTCAGCATTCTGTTGCCTTCAGTAAAACTTGTTCATTGGAAATCCTTCCTGCCAAACTCCTCACGCTTGTTCACCTTCTAGGACTGAATGCGTTCTCATTTTCTACTGGTTTTTAAAAAATGTTCAGTGCTCATCTTAGCCTTTTTTTTAACTTGAAGTTTTCAAAGGCAGCAACAAAGCAAAATTGTCCTTCACGTTCCTCTAGTTCTCCTTCTTATGGTGGCTTTAACCCAGCCGCTCCCGGCCTGTCGCACTACGGGTCCCCTCGTCCCCGTGCAGCGTGGCCGGCCAACCAGGCCGGGACCAGCTGGTTTAAGCATTGCTCAGCGGCTGTGCTGCATTCAGCGAGAGTAGCTCTGAGGGGGGCCCGGCCTGTTCTGTGTTCTCCTCTCCCCTGACCCAGGCCTGTCTGTGTGAAATGGTTTTCACGGGGCAGAAGCTTCAGAGGCTGTCTTTGCATAATTTGTGTACCCTGGCTCACTTAATCATACGGGCAGTCCTCGCTTAATGATGGTAATTGGGACTGGCAACTCCGTCGCTAAGCAATGCGGTCGTAAAGCGCAACGTCACGTGACCCTGCCGACTCGCGATGGTGGTTCCGGCAGTCTCAGTACCTGTCGGGAGCCGGCAGAGAAGATTGCAAATGGCGATCACGTGACTGCGGGACGCTGCAACGTTGAAATTGCGAGCCAGTTGCTAAGCGCCCGAATCATGATCACGTGACCGCAGGGACGCTGAGATGGCTGCCACTATGAGGACCTGTCGTAAGTCCCCCTTGTTCAGCGCCGTCGTAACTTCGAACGGTCGCTGAACGATTGGTTGTTCCATGAGGACTACCTGTGTTTACTCCTCCTAATGGTCTGTGTTTGCCCAACACACTGAGATAGAAACTACGAAAATGGGCCAGCCACATTTTAGCTGAGCGTGTTGCATGACATAGCCCAGGTGGTGAGTTGATGGCTCAGTGTGCCATGAAAACTGCAGGCCAGCCTTTCCCAGCAGTGTGTGGGGGCGAGGAAGGGGGCTGCCCCCCCACCAGTAGGTTGCTTGGCACTGCCCTGAGGACTGGGCTCCTGTTTCCAGGTCCCGTTTCCCACCATGGTGGCCCTTCTCTGCATGTGGTTCGGCATTTCCTTGCCCTTGGTGTACCTGGGCTACTACTTCGGCTTTCGCAAGCAGCCGTATGACAATCCTGTGCGGACCAATCAGATCCCGAGGCAGATCCCGGAGCAGAGGTGGTACATGAACCGGTTCGTTGGGTGAGTCTTCTGGGCCGACCTCGTTGCAAGTTGGGGATGGTAACTGCAGTAGGTGCCATGAGAGAGCCGGTTGGTGCAGCGGTGAAGGCACTGGCCGAGAAACCAGGAGACCACGAGTGCTGGTCCTCCCTGAGGCGCGAAAGCCGCCCGGGTGATTTTGGGCCGGTGCCTACCTCTCAGCCCAACCCACCTCACAGGGTGGTGGTTGTGGGGAAAATAGGAGGAGGGTTAGGTATGTTCGCTGCCTCGAGTTATACATAAAAAGGCAGGATAAACATAATAATTACTACAACAACAACAAGGGGACAGCAGAGTGTAAAGGATTGCTTTCATATCCGGCCTGTACCGCGTGGCAGGAGCGTGGATCTGATTGGGTGCTGATCTGAGATCCAGAAAGGCGCCTGCAATTTAAACAGAGGATAACGAAGTAGCAGATAACGCAGTTGTCCAAGCATTTGAGGGATCCGTTTGAACAAGATCACGTGCTTACCTAATAACTGTTCCCCCCCTGCTCTTCTTCACAGGATTCTTATGGCCGGAATTTTGCCTTTTGGAGCCATGTTTATTGAACTTTTCTTCATTTTCAGTGTAAGTACTGTTGCCACCCTCATGTCCCCAGCGGCTGTGTGCCTTTGCATAATACTCATTGCCCATACAAATAAAACAAATCATGGTCTAATGTGGTGGTCTGCTTTACCCAGCATACTAAGTTAATGGCTGGCTTCCCCCAACACGCTCAGATCCATTTTGGCCAAGTCCAGCATGTGGTGAATAGCATTTGGGGCAGAGGAGTATTCGATGGGGGGTGGGGAGGTGTGGGAACCATGTTTTGTCCCGTTTGTGGCCTGATTAATCTGGGCTTTGAGAGCCAGTGTGGGACAGTGGGGAAGGCGCTGGACTAGCGCAGGGAGACCCAGGTTCTAATCTTCCATTAGGGAGAGAAACTCAGGGGGACTTTGGGCCAGGCATACTCTTCCAGGCCAGACTAAGAAGTCAAAAAATGTCTGTACATGGTATCAGTGGGGTAGACTGTGGTCCATAATCTTCAAGGAAGAGGCCTTCATTCTGCAGTGGATTGATTCGGGCTGATAATAATGATGTTCATATTTATATATCTTCTGAGGCCAAGGCTGCAGGACTGTAAGTAGTGACAGTCATAACATGGCCAGAGTTGTTGGGGTTAAGAACAAAATAGGTGCATTAAACCTTTGCATTGCTTAAGGCGTCCATTTTCTCCCTTAAGCCCTCCAAACCGAGCCACAAATTGTGGCCACTTCCACTTTACAAGTGGCCTGGAAGCCACCTCTCGGTGTGCCCTCCCCTCGAGTGGCAGATACAGCTTTGCAGAATCTTCTTGACCTAAGTCAGGCCACTCCAAAGAATGGAGCTACAGTACAGGATTGCTCCTTTGGATGGGCCGACGCTTCCCGAAACACCCTCCTCTTGGGGAAATGGTTTCAGAGATTTACTTCAGTATCTTACACACGTTCTTGTGTATGTGCCTTTCTTGGATTCAGGCCATCTGGGAGAACCAGTTCTACTACCTCTTTGGCTTCTTATTCCTGGTCTTTATCATCCTCGTGGTCTCCTGCTCCCAGATCAGCATTGTCATGGTGTACTTCCAGCTCTGTGCTGAGGTAAGGGGACAAGAGGGAGTGGGGTCACAAGGCAGGGGAACCCAGGCAGGTCCACGACGGGCCCAGAGGTCTGAGGCCTCTGACGTGCAGGTGACGGTTGTGTGTCTTACACAGCTAGGTGTATGGACTGGGATCCAAAGAAAGGGGCATTTATCAACACAGTAGTAGAAATTAGCCCAGGTTTCCGCTTGGCACGTTCCTTTTCTCTGTGCTGGAAGGAGGAGGAGTTGGTTGTATGTTTTTGGTGGGGAAGAAGTTGGAGCTGCGCAAGATAGGTGAGAATGTTGTGAAGTCTAGCGTGATTCCAGCAGAAGGGTAGCCTCTGAAGCAGGGAAAAAGCCGGTTGTGTCTCCCTCTCTGCCTGGAAGTTGCCACTTCCAAGGGATGTTTGGAAAAATGTTGAATGCCTCAGTTCAGCTACAACCAGGGACAAACAGTCCCGCCCATTAAGCCCTGGGTCACAGCATCTCTTCACCTCAGCTCCCAGGCAGGCGTCTCCTCTCAGGCCCTTCAAACGAGAAGGTGTATCGGTCCGTGGGAATGACCTTGGGAGACAGGAGGCGCAGCCACAGACCGAACAACCGCCATGCAAAAGATACCTCAGCCCACAGAAGGCCCGGGGGCGGGGAGGGCATGGGAAGCATTTCAGAAGGGACCCTCCCTAGTTTTCCGGAGAGTAAAAGGAGAGGAGGGGAGAAATACTTTCAGTCTGGCAAGGTTCCGTTAATGTAACCTTACAATAAAGATAGAGTTAGTACTCATAGTTGTTGCTTCTTGTCTGGACTACATTGAAGGGCTACCGCAAGGCCTGTTTTTCCCATGACTTCAGGGAATGTTCCCTGCGCAGTCTGTTGTCCAAAAACGTGTTCTAGCTTTACACGCCACCCCAAGATCTGCCGGGCTTCTCCCACCTGCACAGGCAGCCTGGCTCTGACTTAGGCTCCAAGAACAGGGAGCCCCCGGCAGAATAATGCAGGGTTGATCTGATCCATTTGGCAGGATTACCGGTGGTGGTGGAGGACCTTCCTGGTGTCTGGAGGATCTGCTTTCTATGTGCTAATATATGCAGTCTTCTACTTCGTGAATAAGGTACTGTTTGCAATCCGCATGGGCCAGTCTGCTTCCCCTTACAAGCTCAGGGAGAGTTACGTGGTAGCAAAAATATAAATGGGTGGCCACATTCTTAAAGGTGGGCGTCATATTTGGGGGGCTGAGAGTCCCTGAACTGTTCTTCCCTGGTGAAGGGGAGCTAATGGGGATGAGCTCTCTCTTCCCCCCGCCATCCCCTTCTTTTTTTCCTCCTCTAACTTGGTTTTTGTTCTTTTTCAGCTGGACATTGTGGAGTTCATTCCCTCCTTATTGTATTTCGGCTACACAGCCCTCATGGTGCTGTCCTTCTGGCTCCTGACGGGGACCATCGGCTTCTATGCAGCCTACATGTTTGTCCGCAAAATTTATGCTGCTGTGAAAATAGACTGAAGGCACTGTGACACCAGATGGCACAAAGCCACCATGCTTTGGTTTCCTCCTAGGAAGGAAGTGGGGAACTTTTTCCTGTTTCTCCCAAGGAAACAAAATCCTTTGGGAGCAGGACACGGGAAATAAAAAAAATAGTTCAACTCTTGGAATGTAATCTTTGGCACAGTGTCCGTGGAATCAGGGGATCTCCTGGAGGGGAAGGGTGTATAGATTCTTTACATTTTAATTTTTATTCTCTTGCGGATATAAGGGTTTTTTTAGAAACTCCAATCCACCCCTTTCAATGAATATTCCTTCGTCTGATTTTCAAAATCAAGACAGTAACCCAAGATTGCAGTGATTACTCTCGAGTTCAGGGAGAGAGATTCTTCAATAGCCTTTTGCTATGCCTGTGCTGGGAAGAAGACGGCGGGCACCGCAGGCTTCTGGAAAGATTCCTAGAAATGGTTTGCTGAAGTTTCTTGTGTGGTCTGGTTTCAGCAACTCTCTGTCCTGGTGCTACAGAGGTGCTATTTCAGAACGAGACAAGTGCAATTTTTCAGAAGGGGCTTTCAAACTGAAATCTTCCAACCTGCCCCTCCCACTTTCTCTTGTGCCAAAAGTCTCAGCAGGCAGCAACGCTACCTTGAGTTTTAAATGATGAATGATAAGGAACGCAGAACTGTTGCTCTGAAAATTAAACAGGCCAGCAAACTGGAGAACACAGCTCAGATGTCCTGGGGAAATTCTGGGGAAACTTCTTGGACCCTCCCCGCTAACTCCTGGATTTGGGTGAGACGAGGGACCGTAAGCAGAAAAATGAGCAAGCTTGCCATGTTCATGTGCTGAGGAATCCGTGGCTCAGACACAGAGAACTGCTGTGGCAATGTGGAAGAGAGGAAAGGACTTGGGCGAGTCCTGCGTTTCAGAGAGGAATTGCCTGCCCCCCCCCGGTTCTGCAGGAATTTGTAAAACCACGTCCCCCGCCCTCCACCCATCACCGGCAGTCCTGGCAGAGTCATGTTCTTCCCCTGTTCAGGTCTGTCCTTAGAAATTAGACATTCAGTTCTGTCCCTTATTGACCTCTGTGCAAACGACATATTTGGAAAGGGATCTGCAAATTAATTCATGTACGCGCCAATCTTTTCCTGTTGCTGCAAGTGAAAAATTCTTCAATCCCGAAGGTGGAAGTTTCTTGCCCTGATTTGGAGTTTGCAAATCAACCTGAACCTAGTTGCTGGAAGATGGTTAAAGACACTCCTTGGACAAACCACACCTTTTTCTGTGTTACCAGAAAATGGGTTTGATTTTTAAAACTGCTGAAAAAAGTTGTGATGAGATTTTTCCTGAGACCTAGAGCAGTTCACACCGTGTTTTCGCCCAAGAATTAAAAAATCTCCAGACATTCTACCTGATCTGTCCTGATGGTGAATCTTACGTGCACTATGTGGAGAAAAACTCTTCCATTTTCTGTGAGCATATCTTAGAATAAGTAAACATGCATTTCTCACAATTTAATGATGTCTATTTTAACGTCTCTTTCCCTCCACTGCCCCCGTCCCCGCTTTTCTTGCCCTGCGTGGATGGATGAAGGGTCTGCAACATTCTCCACAAGGCACAAGCAAAACCAGTATCGTCTGGAGAGGCTGTCTTGGCTGTCGTCTGCCCCTCGCCACCTCCCCATGCCATCTCATTGCTTACCACACCAAGGGCGCATCAGCCACAATCAAGGTTGGGCTAAGAGCCGCAGGATTTGTGGCCGAGGGATTCCTTGGTGAACTTTGGTTTGACGTGGAGTATTCGAGTGGGTCACTTTCCCCTAGGTAACCTCTGCCCCATCGGATCTGCTCTAGCCATGCTGTCAGCCTTGTATTTTTAATGTATTGTTTGAGCCCGAATGTAAATAAATACGCTGTTGTCCGATTCGTCTTGTAGATATTCTTGGTCCCTTGCCATGATCAGACTTCCAAGGCACCATCCACAGGTAACGCTCTCGCTGTTCTCATTGGGAAATTAGTCTGCTTGCAATGCCAGGGGTGGAAGTGGGCAATCGGACTTCTGTAAAATGGGAGGTTTTGCCTAATTTGGTACTGTGATGTGTGATCATTTGATAAACATTTCCACATTGAGGGGAATAGCGTGGAGAAGATGCTTTCCTACAGGCACTAGGGGGTCCAGGCAATTCCCCCCCCCCCCC